TTAGTGGGAGCAAATACATTTTTCTAGTTCTATATGTGGATGACATTTTACTTGCATCTAATGATTTGGGATTGTTGCATGATACTAAACAATTTCTTTCTGAAAATTTTGAAATGAAGGATATGGGTGAAGCTTCTTATGTCATTGGCATAGAGATTCATAGAGATAGGTCCAAAAGGACATTAGGACTGTCTCATAAAGCCTACATTGAAACAGTTTTGGAAAAATTCAAGATGAGTGATTGCACTCCTAATGCAGTGTCCATTTTAAAGGCTAACAAATTCAGTTTAAGTCAATGCCCGAAGAATGATTTGGAAAAGGAACAAATGGTTAGCATTCCCTATGCGTCTGCCGTAGGCAGTTTAATGTATGCTTTGGTTTGTACACGACCTGACGTTGCATTTGCAGTTGGGATGCTTGGAAGATACCAAAGCAATCCAAGAATGGAACATTGGAAGGCTACAAACAAAATCATGAGGTACTTAAAGGGAACCAAGGACTACATGCTTACTTACAAGCATGTTGACTATCTTGAGGTGGTTGGATATTCAAACTCGGATTTTGCGGGTTGTCAAGATTCTAGAAAATCTACTTTAGGATATGTCTATCTGCTAGCAGGCGGTGCTGTTTCATAGAAGAGCGCCAAAAAGACGATAATTGCATCGTCAACAATGGAAGCAAAGTTTATAGCATACTTTGAAGCAAAATCACAAGCTATTTGGTTAAGAAATTTTATCACAAGGTTATGAATTGTGTATTCAAACTCGGATTTTGCGAGTTGTCAAGATTCTAGAAAATCTACTTTAGGATATGTCTATTTGCTAGCAGGCGGTGCTGTTTCATAGAAGAGCGCCAAAAAGACGATAATTGCATCGTCAACAATGGAAGTAGAGTTTATAGCCTGCTTTGAAGCAACCTCACAGGCTATTGGTTAAGGAATTTTATTACAGGGCTTCAAATTGTGGATTCAATTTCTAGGCCATTAAAGGTTTACTGTGATAATTCGGCGGCGGTTTTTTTCTCTAACAACAACAAAAGTGGTAGCCGAAGCAAGCATATTGACATAAAGTATCTTGCTATTTGAGACCGTGTTAAGAAGTAAGAAGTCAGTATTAAGCATATTAGTACCGATATGATGATTGCAAATCCCATAACCAAAGGTCTTTCTGTAAAAGTGTTTTCAAAACACGTTAAGGGTATGAGACTGATTGGTTAGCTCAATAATTTTTCTAGTTGTTGTTTTATTTTGTTTTGTCATGACATTTTGATTATTATTAGTGAAAAGCATCATTTTGTGCACCTAAAGTATTTGTGATGCTATGCAGTCCATTGGGACTATTGATCCATAGGGATCATTGGACCCAGAATAACTTATTAGAAGTTATTTATAAAGAATGATACCACATAAAGTTGAGAGTGTGATACAATATAATACATGGAAGGAAATACTTAATCGATAGAGTATAACCGCCATGATTCGTGTATTATACCTCTAAGGTTTGGGTATTTTTATGATCATCATTAGTTTGTTAGTTACCCGACAGTCAACAACATGTGTTATATGTGCCAAGTGGGAGAATGTAAGAATATCCATAAAGTGGCCCATATGCCACATGTTTGTTTTATTTATTTATTTATATTATATATATTTAATTGGTTTAATGACTAATTACTTGGTTTAATGACTAATGGGTAACTCATGTCTATTCATTATCCCATATGGTGATTTCATAGGACTTTACAACTTTCCTGACGATGGGAAGTTATAAGGAGTAGGGCTGTGCAAAATACCACCCAATTCGCTAAAACCGCACTGATCCACATCAATTCGCACCGCTTTAACCGCTAACCGCAGTTTAAACTTTAAAATTTATAATCCGCCAACCGAACCGCTCCGTTCTGCTATAGTTAATACATATATATTTTTTAACTTCTAATGAAATATCATTGTAAAAATGAGTATGAGAGATATTTAAGATATGAAATTTATTACAAATTAGTGGTTATATATATGAAACGTATTATGTAAAATTATTTTGTGTTATATATCTAAAAAATATTGTACAAATTAGTGTTATATATTATGCAAATGTATGATAATTAGTTAAAATGTTCTTTAATCTGCCAATCCGCCAAAAACTGCCCAAACTGCAATTTGTCAATCCGCTAATCCGCTAACCTGACATTCGGTTTGTAATTTTACTCTCCAACCGTCCGAACCATACCGCGCACACCCCTAATAAGGAGTTACACTTGGATATGGGTCCAAGCCTATCTATATATATGCATGTGATAGCCATCAAACATAGACATTGTTTTGTGAATAGAATAGGCTTGAAACTCTGTCTCTTTCACTTTTTCCATATAGTTTTGTAAAAGTGTTATGCAAGTGGGCTTTTTACACATTCAAGATTTGATCATTCAAGGATAAAGATTCAAAGGCTTGAACATCATGGCAGGAGGTGTTCTTCTTTCTGAATTAAAATTATTTTAATTCTCACACAAAATACTTCAGTGTTAAGGTACAATGATATGTAATAATAATTAAACAAGATATATGTATAATCCACCCAATTTATTTGTATCAAGTATGCAAAAAAAAAATTATATATATATACACAAAGATAAGGGTTCAGTTTGTCTCTAGTTAGAGATTAAGATTGGACCTAACAATTCGCACCTTGGCTCATTTTTTGGTTCCGTTTTAATGATTCAAGCAGTTCACATTCTAGGATTCGTCGAGAATATCATTCATGTAAAAAATCAAATCAATCGGATAACGGTAATTACATATTCGAATAAGTTTTACATATAAAAAAAAGGACGGCAAAAAATAAACAGTTCATATAAAATTAATTCGAACGCATAGTTACCATTATCCGATCGATTTGATTTTTTACATAGATGATATACTTAACAAATTCTAAAATGTGAATAATTCGAATAATCGAACCGGGACCCAAAATGGGCCCACAGTATGGACTGGTGAGTCCAGTCTTGATCTCCAAATGGAGACAAACTAGACTCTAAAAATAATATCAGGTTTGACCACGATAATAAATCAAATTCTAACATTTTAATTGTTTTAATTTAAACATATATTTTTAAAATGATATTAATTTTAATCATCTATTTTGTTTCAGTACAGAGAACGGACAATGCAAATAATTTAATAATTATTTTTTTCTACTTTATTAATATTGACAACCATCTGTCACCCTTACCGTTGGGTGATTCTATTTACACACTTTTACTTGTCTTAGTATACATCATTTACTCAATTCACATCATACGCAAATTACAAATTACAACTTTTAATTTTATCTCAATGCACACAAATAATTTTCTGATAATACTAAACTACCCTTATCTTCTCTAATAAATCCTAACCCTAACCATCATCGAGCAAACACTACCTCTTACCGGTGTCGTTCCATTCTTAGTCTCTCTCAACCTCCCACGGCCGCCGCCCCTCCCCAGCCTCTTTCCCCTTCCCGCCGTTGCTTCTTCCTCTCCAACCTCTCTTTCTTTCATCGTAGCCTCTTTTTGTTAGTCCCTTATCGTTCTCTCCTTCTGCTACTGCCGCTGTAATTTTTTTCCACTCAGTTGCGATCGCTAGATCGCAATCTCTCTTCCACCTGCGATTTCTCTCTCTCTCTCTCTCTCACTCACAATTACAAATAACCATCAGCCTTCGCCACTATCATTGCCAGCAACCCCTTTAGCCTTTCATTCCCGACGACAACGCTGCAACTCTCCATTGCCAACAACCCCTTTCGATAACCCTCCGTCATGATCCATCCCTTATCCAGCTAGGGTTTGGGTTGGGTTTCTAGATCTAGGGTTTGAGCAATAAGAAGAAAAAGGGTTTGGGTTACTAGATCTAGGGTTTGAAAAATAAAAAAAAGAAGAGAAGGGGTTGCGGATTGGGCTGCAAGAGATATTGGGATTGGAGAGGAAGAAGGTGGGGCTAATTGTAGAGGGTGGAGAAGGGTGGTGGACAACAAAGGGGTGGACAATAGAGCTGGGGATGTGCTATCGGATTGAAGAGAGTAGACTAGACTAGGAGAGGGGTTGGTGGTGGCTGCACCTTCAAGGGTTAGAAAAGGGCGATGAGATGGCACTGGCAGAAGGAGAGGAATGCTATGAAGGTGGTGATGATTGAAAGGAAGAGAGGTGGCTACCAATGGCCGACAGTGACAAAGGTTAGGATTGATTTGAGAGGAAAGGAAAGAGAGAAAGGTATGAGTGTGTTGATAATTTGATTGAATGATAGAAATGCAATAAAAAAATTTAGAGAAAAGATGTGCACTGAGTTAATCAAGTGTGTGGAAATAGAATTTCCCCTCATCTTAGCTCAACTCTCTCTTTCTCTCTATCAGGCTTGCCCATCACTCTCTTTTAATGATTATGTGTGTTTGGTCAGAGTTTTTTCGACTCCATCAAATACCAAAAAAGGGTAGGAGTTCATTCAATCCATTAAGGTTCATTTGAATCTTCATCATCTAGGTTCATCTTTTTCATCTCAGAAGTTTAACAAAATCATAATCTGAAGAAGAGGACAAAATTGAGTGAAGAAGATGAAGAATGTAACACTTCGTACTCCTTGGACTAGTGGGGTTGCTCTTGACTCTCTTATTATTGTAATTATAGCCTCTTTGATTGATTTTAGAGTATTGATAGGGGTGGTATCATAATGGTAAAGTAGGATTGAACAAAAAATATTGATTTGGATAATTGTCCCATGAGCAGTTTTCACTTTTTTACCTTTTTCTCTCTCCACACTTTGAATCCAGATGCGAGGCTAGAACCATTAGAAATCTTGTTTTCGTGGTTTTGATTTTGATATAAGAACGACCCAAAACGAAGTTCAACTGGGAGCGTTATGCTCATTTGAAGTTTGCATTCCTAAGTTGTGTACTCCTAAGTTGTGTACATAGCTTGTTCGAGCGAACTTTTGACTGCTCGAGCTGTCTGTTTGAGATTCTAAGAGCTTAATTTCATTTTTTTATTTTGCTAGCAGAGAAAGAACCAACTTTACTTATGCAATGGTGATGAACTGAACCATTTCGAAACCCCAATTCATATTAAAAATCTAAGCACATCAACACATAGACGAAGATGAAGATGGATTGATTGATTGACCCATCAATTTCCGATCACCGTTACTGAAATCTGACCAATTTCTGGGAATCAAATGGGTCAGCAGGGTTTAGTAACCGACGCCGATTACCGTTGGTCGAGTTCTCTGGCGAGCAATAAGTCTCCAATCTTCTATAGAATGATGGGTTCTTCAATTCTTCAAGACAACAAACTGGTAATTTAATCTTTCTCACTCATAGTCTCTTATAGGGTATGCGTTTTCATGCCGATCAAAAAAAAAAAAAAAAAGGGTATGTGTTTTCATGTTTCTATGGGTGAGTTGGTAGATGTAGACTCAAACCCAGAACCTGTTTGGTTGCCGTGGAACCCAGGAAGAAGAACTTATTTTTGGAGTCTTTTTACTGTTTTTGTTTTCCAATTAAAAGAAACTGAAGAAGAAAAATTAGCCCTCTTTTGTTGTCCTGTTATTGGTCAAGCACTGTTCTCAAAGGAAAGAGAAACCAGAACTTGTTTGATTGCGTGAAACCCAGGAAGAAAATAAACTTATTAATGTAGATGAAAATTTAGCCCTTTTTTCCTGAAGGGAAAAATTGACGTCAGAAGACCTAAAAAAACAAAATTGGATCTTGTGTCTTCTCTTTGCCCTTTTGTTTTCAGAAATAGAAACACAACACAGCTGAGCTAGGTCAACTTCTTGGACTAGGGTTAATTAGGTGGAGCTTTTGTTCCTTCATGAAAAAGTTTGTATATTTGTGTGTTGTTTGTAAAATTTCTTCATACATCAGCGTCTCTGTAAAATTTATTTGGTGTATTTTCAAGTCCTGATGTCCAGTATCTGGAAAATCCAAAAAATTGTTAGTTGGTTGGAAACACTAATAGTTATTTATAAATAGCTTGGAAAATACATCAAACCGAAGAATCAATAATATAAGAAAAGTTGAACAAGGAGCCAACAATCACTATTGTCAATACAAGAAAAAACCCATATCAGGGAAGAAACAATCAACTCAAGTGAGATATCCAATAACGGGGAGAAAATAATCAAACTTTGTCTTTGACAAGATTGACAGCCTTAACTCCCAATTGGTAGTCTAACACGCTTTGTTACTTTACTGTCACGATAATGTAATTATGCATTGTGGACATTTCTCCTTGATCTCATTTTTTCCATTGAAATAAACGTTGTAAATTGATTTTTGTCACACAGAGACTCCCGGGGAAGTTTGTCAGGAAGCTTGGGAATGTTTTTCCTGCTGTTGCTACTCTCACAACTCCTAATGGTTGTGCTTGGAAAGTCGGATTAAAGGTAATTGACGACAAGGTTTGGTTCACTGAAGGTTGGCATGAATTCGTAAAACACCAATCTATCCGTGTGGGATATCTTTTAGTCTTCATATACATGGGGAATTCAAATTTCAGTGTGAATATATATGATTTGGGTACTGCTGAGATAAAATATCAATGTAATAATTCTGAAGGGCCCAGTGGTGGCAACTGGTGTTCAGTACCATATAAGGGAGGAGCAGCAGATGATGACTCAGTTGAAATTTTGAATTCCCGTAGCCAAACGCCTACATCTTTGGAAAACAAGGCTTTTTACGAAACTCTGTATCAACAAAAGCTTGGTAAAAGTTATGATCATCAAGGGATTAGAGAAGCTGATAGTATTATAGAGTTTCAAGCCAAAATGAACAGAACTGGAATTTCCAACTCACATGGGTCTGTGTCGGATGAAGCAAGGGGTCACGCTGCTAAGATGTTTCCATATGTTCAATATACAGGAGGCAACTTCAATGGAGCTGATCTTAAAAACTCCCATTACAAGGCCAATGGAGGAAACTTACATGTAGATATTGGAAGGTCAGTAGCCCGATCCACTCGAGATATAGGTATTCAGTGTAGTAACACTGAGTTTATGACAACTGCATATGAAAACAGATTGCATTCGTTGAATCAAAGACATGAAATAACCCGAAAAAGAAAACGAGAAAGCGGACCTTGTAAGCTCTTCAACATTAAATGCTCCTTTCATTCTGGAATTCTCTGTGACTTGATTTCTGTCATATAATAACTAATGTGATAAAATACTGATGAATGTGAATTATCAGCTAAGCACGGAAGTGAAGTACAAATTCCTGGCACTGAAACAAGTCGTGGAACTTTCTTGAGGAAGTGGAAAGTAGTAACTCCTGAAGAAAAAGAGAGAGTGCTTAACACATCAAAATTGTTTCAGTCTGAATATCCTTTCTGCAGGGTTATCTTGCGACGGTCCTATGTATACAAGGGAATTGGCTTGGTGAGCCATTAATTTGTGTTGTACCTGATCTTTTATTTTCAAATAAAAAAACTCTTTTACTTTTTTTAAACTCCTTTTCCTGTGCAGCATATGCCGGCCTCCTTTGCTGAAAAGTATCTCGGTGGGGTTTCAGGATTCATAACACTTCAGGTTTCTAGCGGGGAAAAGTGGCCTGTTCGGTGCATGTGGAGAGATGGTTCAGCTAAGTTAAGCAAAGGTTGGCCTGAATTTGTATCCACTAACAAGTTGGAGGAGGGTGATGTTTGTGTCTTTGAGCTGATCAAGATGGGGGAGGTTGTGCTTAAAGTTACGATTTTTCGTGTTGCTGAAGCTGCAGCAGAACCAGTGAACCAACTTCCAAAGGAACATCTCAGCCGAACCAGCCAGTTTGCCAGTGCTTATGATCTGAATGGCTGAAATTTGTAGGTGATCTTTCTTCTTTAGGCAGCCCTGTCAACTTGTTAAAATGGAATTATTTTGAAGTTAAATCTCTAGACACTTTTTGTTGTTTGTGAGTCTGTATAGAAATTTGCTTCACTTTGGTTGGCCCACAAATAGATGCTTGATTATAATTCTGTCAGATTGGAGAAGGGCAGTGGATTTCTTCACAACCTTCTTCGTTTTTATTTCTTAGTTGTTTTCCCCCCATTTTTGGTGCCACCACCAACAATTCGGGCACAGAATCAACCATCAACAAGTATAACAATATCTTTCATTATATATGTTCTCTCTCATTATATATGTTAGGATAGGTTGCTTATTTCCAATGATCAAAACCTTGGAAGTCTGTAATCTTGGGGTTTTTGGGTTGGTAGGTGTTTTTAGTTCTCTTAGAATGATTGAGTTCACCACTTGAAAGTATCATTTTGGCAAATAATGCATTGGTCCTGTTGCTGAGCAAGGTATATGACTTGTTTCTAACCTGTGCATGTCACTATTCTTATTTCTCTCACCTTTGCACTATGTTTGGATCATGATTTGGATAGAGATTTTAAAAGGGAAAGGGAAATGGGAAAAAAAAAACTAGCTTATATTTCATTCATATTGCTCTCACCTTTTTCTTTTCTCTTTCCAAATCTTTACCCAAAGTCATGATTCAAGCACAGCCTTAGGGACCAGTCCATTTATAAGACTGTACTTTTATGCATTGGAAAGACATTTTTCTTCAAAATTGGTAATGGTCCTTTGTCTTGAATTCCTGGGAGCAGTGCTCAATATGCACTTGACAGCAGCTCGAGTGCCTGATATGCTGTGACAAATGCTCAACAGGAGCCTGACTTGAGCTCAAGCGCCTGAGTTGCTGGGGCTAGTGCCCGATAGGTGTTTGACCTGTGATTGAGCGCATGATATGCTCGGCCTAGTGCTTGACATGTGCTTGTCCTGAGCTTGAGTGTCTGATTTGCTGTGGCTAGTGGTTGCAAGTGCTCACATGAGCTCGAGTGCTATTGGCACTACTCAGGCCCATTTTCTAATCTTCTTGTCACTGAATCAGTTTTAATGCTCATATCTCATGTTTTTCAGATCTATGATGACGGTTATAGAAGCTTAGGATCAATTCTTTTTTTTCCTCCCTACAGGAGCTCTATAACTTGATCATCAAGACTCCATTGATGAATCCTCTATGTTCTTCAATCTAGAAATCAAAATCATGGGTTTGAATCATTCAATTCATCTACATTGAGTTTGAATTCGCAAAAAACCATATACCTTCAACACAACACCATGTACCTATGAGTATCGGAGCTATGGGAAAGGGAGATTAGTGCTTGATGCTTCATGGTGATTGTTGACTCAATGGAGCTTGATGGATCAAGGCTGCTGTGGAGAGAAGATCAAGCTTTTTTAAGCTTGTGGTGAGCTCAATTGTAGGGAGCTTGGATAAGAGTTTGTAAATCTTTCAATTATGCCTTGCAACTGTTTGATGCAGTGATATATGGTTACTGGGTGTTGGGATTATGTTTTTCGTCTTTAATGGGATTGTTCTTTCCGTAGGATTTCTACACGTCAACTTTGGAGTCTCTTGATTGATTGCTCTCTAATTGACTAAATTGTTAGTTGTGTGTTTAGAACTGCTCAATTGGTATCATTGGTGGATTAATTGTTTAGTTGAATGTGCAAATAATTGTCGAGAGTTCAATTATACACTTGCTTGTGGTAAGATTGGTGGTAATATGTTAAAATTGGCTTATTCACCCCTCTGTTCGTGTTGATTCCGTGTCTCTGGTTGTTTCTGTGGCCTAAGTATTTTTGAGAAATCAATAGCATGTTTGTAAGGATGATGTGGCTATTTTGCATTTTCCATCATTTGTTTATAATGAAGTGAAGAACTGACAGGCCACCTCAACTAGTGGAGATTTTTGGGTAATATGTCTGGCTTGTAGAGAGCATTGCTCTATACGGCCAATGTAACATTGCAATTTTTGGATTTTTTTTTTTTTTTAAATTTGAAATATAATTTATATATCTAGGGGCGGTGCTAAGCAGCGCAGGCAGGTACTTGCTATGAGTGACAAATTGTACAGATGTAAGCTAAAGGAGTGTTGTTACCCTCCGTTGCGTTTGACAAAAATTGAACTTCTCATGGGAAGTGAGAAAATGCCGTTGCCTAGATGTCCTTGGTGCTGCATCTGTGTTTGTTTGCGTGTTTGGTATATCCACTAACAATTGATGAATTTATAACGTGGCATAAAGAACTCTGAATTAATTTGATTTTTTAGAGGAACAGGCAGGTTCTTGCTATGAGTGACAAATTGTACAGATGTAAGCTAAAGGAGTGTTGTTACCCTCCGTTGCATTTGACAAAAATTGAACTTCTCATGGGAAGTGAGAAAATGCCGTTGCCTAGATGTCCTTGGTGCTGCATCTGTTGACAAAAATTGAACTTCTCATGGGAAGTGAGAAAATGCCGTTGCCTAGATGTCCTTGGTGCTGCATCTGTGTTTGTTTGCGTGTTTGGTATATCCACTAACAATTGATGAATTTATAACGTGGCATAAAGAACTCTGAATTAATTTGATTTTTTAGAGGAAATTTAATTTGATTTGAACGATTACTATGCTGCGAATTCTTTATTTAGGATGGAAAAATATAATATTTTGATCAAAACTATGGGAAATTATCACTTTATACTATTCAACTACGTGCCCCCTAAGCTTTCTACTACACTTTTTAATGGGCATTTACATTATGATTTGTCTTCATAGTATCAAACTCTTTCATACTTAATATAAACCTTATTATTTGAAACAAGAAAGAGAATATAACCAAACCAAACCAAACTAAGGCCTAAGTTTCATCAAATGGGGTCGGTTACATGAATCATTCTTCTTCACGCTGTCCTATCAAAGGTTATTTCATTAGTCAAGTTGAGTAGATTTATATATCTATTTATAACGCTAGTTAACGTTAATTTAGGTTTATCTCGTCCCCTAACACTTCCATCTACCGTTACAGTATCGCATCTCTTCACTACTGTCTCTGTTGGTCTCCGTTGAATATGACTGAACCATCTCAAACGATTCTCTCTCAACTTATCTTCTATCGGTGCTACTCCTATCCATTCTCGAACACACTCATTCCTAATCCTGTCTTGTTTAGTTTTACCACACATCCACCTTAGCATTCTCATCTCAGCCACACTCATCTTATCTACATGTTATTTCTTGGTTGCCCAACACTCCATCCCATACAATATAGCTGGTCTAATAGCCGTTCTATAAAACTTACATTTTAGCCTAGTGGGTATTCGTTTATCGCACAATACCCCAGACGCACTTCTCCACTTACACTATCCCGCCTTGATCCTATGGGCCACATCTGCATCAATCTCTCCCACTGTTGTGATAATCGACCCTAAATAGCGAAAATGTTTACTCTTAGGCAGTTCTTGGTTCTCAATCTTTATTTCTCCTCTGCTTTCATTGTTACTGTTACTAAATTTACACTCCATGTACTCTGTCTTAGTTCTGCTTATTCGGAATCCTTTAGATTCAAGAGTTTTTCTCCAAATCTCTAACTTTGTGTTAACTCCTTCTTTAGTCTCATCCACTAGCACAATATTGTATGCAAAAAGCATACATCATGGCACGTCATCCTGAATATTTATCGTCAACTCGTCCATAACTAAAGCAAAAAGATAAGGACTTAAGGTAGATCCTTGGTATAACCCTACAGTGATGGGAAATTCATTTGTCTCTCAAGTTGGCGATCTAATAGTGGTCACCACCTTTTCATACATGTCCTTAATCACGTCAATGTAACCTTTTCTCACCCATTTCTTCTCTAACACGCACCATATTATATCCCGGGGCACTCTGTCATATGTTTTCTCAAGGTCGATAAACACCATATGAATGTCTCTTCTCTTTTCTTTGTACTTTTCTATTACTCTCCTCAAAAGATAGATCGCTTCTATTGTTGGCCTACCATGCATAAACCCAAATTGATTCTCTGACACCTCTTTTATGTCTCGTAATCAACGTTCCATCACCCTCTCCCACACTTTCATTATATGACATATTAGCTTGATTTCTCTATAGTTGTTACAATTCTGGACATCACCTTTATTCTTATAGATTGGCACTAAAATACTATTCCTCCACTCATCTGGCATGTTCCTAGTCAACAAAATTTTGTTAAACAACCTAGTCAACCAAGCAACTCCTTTTTTACCCAAACACTTTCAAGCTTCAATAGGAATATCATCGGGTCCTAAAGCCTTATTTGATTTCATCTTTTTAAGTGCAATTTCCACTTCAAAGTTTCTAATCTTGCGATAGAACCTATAGTCTTGGTTTATCGTATTACTGGTCATTTCTTCCCCTATTGTTGTACCTCTATGCTCCTCATTTAATAGTTTCTCAAAATAATTCTTCCATCGTTCCTTAATCTCATCATCTTTCACCAATATCTTAGAATCTTCACTCTTGACGTATTTTACTTGATTAAAAACTCTTGTTTTCCTCTCCCGTATCTTAACAAGTTTGTATACCCTCTTCTCTCCCTCCTTACTATCTAGTCTAATACATAGGTCATCATAAGCTTTCAACTAAGTCTCTCTCACTACTTTTTTGACCTCCTTATTAGCCAATCTATAGCTCTCAAGATTTTCCTCAGTTCTATCCTTCTGACACTTTTTAAAGCATTCTTTTTTTGCCCTAACTACCGCTTGAACCTCTTCCCTCCACCACCAAGTTTCCCTAGAGCTGGGTCCCGTTCCTTTCGACTCTCCAAGTACCTCCCTTGAGATTCTCCTCATACAATTGGCCATCGAGTTCCACACAGTGTTAGCATCACCTTCTAAGTCCCAAGTACCTTCCTTATCCATTCGATTCTTAAATATTTATATTTTATCCCTGTTTAGGTCCCATCATCTCGTCCTACGATGCCCACCATCCTTCCTAACTTGGTATTGCCCTCTAAAACATAAATCTAGTACCAAAATCTTATGTTGAGAGACCAAACTCTCTCCAGGGATCACCTTACAATCATTGCATTTTAGGCGGTCCACTTTTCTCACTAAAAAGTAATCTATTTGACGCTCAACTAATCCACTCAAAAAAGAGAATATACGACTATATATATATATACTCACACTCACACAGTGTTAGCATCACCTTCTAAGTCCCAAGTACCTTCCTTATCCATTCGATTCTTAAATATTTCTATTTTATCCCTGTTTAGGTCCCATCATCTCGTCCTACGATGCCCACTATCCTTCCTAACTTGGTATTGCCCTCTAAAACATAAATCTAGTACCAAAATCTTATGTTGAGAGACCAAACTCTCTCCAGGGATCACCTTACAATCATTGCATTTTAGGCGGTCCACTTTTCTCACTAAAAAGTAATCTATTTGACGCTCAACTAATCCACTCAAAAAAGAGAATATACGACTATATATATATATACTCACACCACACAGAAGTAATTTGTATAAATAATAATGTGCATCAATTAACAACTCAATTTTAGAGGATTTGAATTCTTACTTGATAAGGTTTGAAATCAATTAGACTAAAAAATAGTCTATAATGATGAAAGAACTCATCATAATAATGAGTAATGTTAACTGATTATAAATGTGTAATCATTTTTCTAATTAATTTTTGGGTAATTATTTAGTACGTCTAAAATATCACGTGGTATTTTTGTCTCATTTAATAATACAGTGTAAAATTTTATGAACATCTTTATTTGGTAATTGAAAAATTAAAAAAGATCGGTTAATGTATTTTTGTGATTCTTCATTTATAGTAGTATCATATAAATATTTTTACATGACACTCCAGAATTACTCAATAATTATTATTAATCTAGGAACTATGGGAGGTAAAATTCGAGTTAGTTATAAGCCACGTTGACCAGTGGCCAAGGCACTGCCTGGCAACGAAATTGAGTCGAACGTGCAATTACGTGGCCAAACTTCACCTTTGGTCACGATAGGCCCAAATAAAGGGTGGATCAAGTCAATCAAAAGTTTACTTCACATGAAAATTTGCATACCTATTCTTAAAATAGTAAGTCTATATGCGTAAAAATTAAACATAGAATATGATACAACTTTGATAAAAAAAGAATAGGACACAATGTGACCTACATGTGTGGGATCCATTTCTTGTGAAACGACTGTGTCCCATTTTATATTTGATTTTTGTGTTTTTAGTATTACTATTATTGAATTATAGCAAACGTGGGATATGATCCCTCACACAACGAAGCAATAAGGTTAAAATTTCTTAATCAACAACCAATACTTAATAGAAAATTAAATATAAAAATTAGTAGGATGCAATATAGTTTCATGCAATCCTTCTAGTCTTATCATTAATAATGTTCCAAATAATTATATTTTGTGTTGAAAAAGACTTTTAAAATCTTGAAGATAAAGTAAGCAATAACTATTTTGAGATTACAAGATTAATATTACAATAAATTATGAAAATCTTATAGAGATTGCATTGATTTAAATGTTAGTTTCCAAAAATATTAAAACAAATAAAATGAATAGATAGAGTTAACGGTATGACATACAAAGATATTGACACGTGAATTAGCATCCGAGATTATGAATG